ATTACTCCATATGATGAAGCAAAAATTACATCGCCAAACAAATAGGAAAGATAGTTGGAACTCTACGTGCCGCACCCTGAACAACGTATCTTTCAAAGGCAAACAAGTCTATCATTCGGCGTTTGATTCGACTTCGATTAATGATGATAAGCTTGAAACAAAGCTATAAGATAAATTGCCCTCGTCAGGGCAAATCACAACGTCTACACATCCTTCAGTGGAATGCTGGAGGGATGTCACAGGACAAAAGACCCAAGTCCAGAAAATCCTACAAGCCTATAATGAAGACATTTTCACAATTATGGAAGCAAACATTTCGGATGACACTAGGAAGTGCTACCAATTCCCAGGTTGCACCCTGTACCTTCAACCTAAATACTGGCAAGTTGAAAGTGGAATTTAGACTACAGTAAAAGAAGGCCTCACCTCATACTACGATCTAATCAAGAGTATGCGCTTTTCGCAAGACATATGCGAAATAATGAGATAAAATTTTTAAAAATGTCAAAACCACTTCAAGAAATATGCAGTCCATAATCCATCCCAGAAGAGTCCCAAATTTGAATTTCTGAGCATCTCAAACAAAACTGTAGTATTAGGAGACTTCAACGGCCATTGCACCAGATGTGGCTATAAGATTACAAACATTGCTGGAAAGGAAATCGAAGACTTGCTAAACAACTAATCTCTGAAACCTATTTACATCAATGAGGATCCTGCTACATATCTGCATTAAAATGGAACCANACACGTCTATTCACACAAGCTGCGATACGGAATGTGTTCACGCAAGAAGCTCAGTCATATTCATCATGGCTGTTTTGCTAATTCCTTATAAAGTGTTGAAAAATTGTAATGAAGTGGAAAGTAAGAAAGCATTCCAATTGAAGCAAGCAAATAAGCATTCATTATCAATATGTAGTGTATTTTGCTCAAAATATTCAAATCACTTCAGTAAGTTCTCCTCAAGAACTGGCTGTGATTGGCCATTTATTAGGATTTGACTCAAAGGCAGTTTCTTAAAAGAGGGTTGCGTACCAACTGCATTGAAATCGGAGACGAGGAAATACAATTAAAACGAATTTTATTGATCTAACCACAGGCAGAACGGGACAGATGTCCACTACGAAAACTAAAAATAACTGAAAAATATTTTAATACAATCGGATCAAAATTCTCTTGGTTTCGATAAAAAACTTGTCATCAGAAAATAATCAAAATTTTCGCATTGATAAATATAAACTGAATGAGTGTCACAACTTTTGCTTTAAATATGTGCTTCAATGACGGCGTTTTAATAATTGGCTGAGAAATAAATATTAAATTAAATAACACTAAAAATACAGCAATTTAATTGCATTTATTTTACAATTAAACCAATTTGGGATTTCAACTGGCGAAAACGTTTGATATATGAATTGTCAGAGCGGGGTGCGCGATAGACTTACCTCCACGTGGTGCACCCTGGACAACGTATCTTCGTACGGCAAAAATGTCTATCACTCGGCATTTGATTTGATTTGACTTCGATTTATTATGATTAGGTTGAAACAAGTCTTAAAGGGAAATCGCCCCCGTCAGGGTGAATTACAACGTCTTCAGATCCTCCAGTGGAATGCTGGAGGGATGTCACGGGACATAAAAATCCAAGCACAGAAAACCCTACAAACCTTTGATGTAGACATATTCACAATTATGGAAGCAAACTTTTGGGATGAANAACAAAGCTATAAGATAAATTGCCCTCGTCAGGGCAAATCACAACGTCTACACATCCTTCAGTGGAATGCTGGAGGGATGTCACAGGACAAAAGACCCAAGTCCAGAAAATCCTACAAGCCTATAATGAAGACATTTTCACAATTATGGAAGCAAACATTTCGGATGACAAACGGAAGTGTTACCAATTCCCAGGTTGCACCCTGTACCTTCAACCTAAATACTGGCAAGTTGAAAGTGGAATTTAGACTACAGTAAAAGAAGGCCTCACCTCATACTACGATCTAATCAAGAGTATGCGCTTTTCGCAAGACATATGCGAAATAATGAGATAAAATTTTTAAAAATGTCAAAACCACTTCAAGAAATATGCAGTCCATAATCCATCCCAGAAGAGTCCCAAATTTGAATTTCTGAGCATCTCAAACAAAACTGTAGTATTAGGAGACTTCAACGGCCATTGCACCAGATGTGGCTATAAGATTACAAACATTGCTGGAAAGGAAATCGAAGACTTGCTAAACAACTAATCTCTGAAACCTATTTACATCAATGAGGATCCTGCTACATATCTGCATTAAAATGGAACCAGAACATCTCCTGACTTGCTCCTGCCTTCCAGCCACATCAGCGGTTCTGGATACAAACCAGTCATTGCTAGTGTGACCATCGGCAGCGCAAGAATGTCAAGGAAAGTGCCAACTAAGCTATCATGGAACTTCAATAAGGCTAACTGGCCAAGATTCACAAACCTTTTAGACAATGAACTTCGCACAAGTCCCCTCAACTTCAACCAACATCTTGACAAACTTTGCAACGAAATCACGGATATTATGATTAGATGGGCAAAGAAACCATTTCCATTGGCAAGACTAAACACTATCGAGTGTTTTGGTCTAAACACCTTTGAGGAACGTAACACTGCGGCTGAATTCGTCGATCTTAAATCAGCATATGATTTAATATGGAAAGAGAAGCTGATTCTAAAGTTGGCAAAGATTGGTATTAAGCATAACATGCTAAACTGGATAAAACATTGTACAAAGATCATGTAAAGTCAGATATCTTAATGCTCTATCAAAATGCGATTATGTAAAGTCATTGAATAAAAGCATTCATTGGACAAAGATCATGTAAAGTCAGATGGCATTCATTGGACAAAGATCGTGTAAAGTCAGATACGGACCTCAATCAAAATCCAATCTTTTACAAACAGGCCGTCCACAGGAAAATCCGATCTTTGCAAACAGGTGTTCCACAGGGAGCTGTCACAAGCTGCACTCTTTTCAATGTTGACAGGGAGCTGTCACAAGCTGCACTCTTTTCAATGTCTTCATCGATAGTACAGACAGTCACGGGCATCAAGTGTTTACTTTATGCAGCTGTTCTATGGTATTCCACCCCTAAGAAAAACGCTCAGGAGAGCTATGGTATTCCGCCCCTAAGAAAAACGCTCAGGAGAACTAACTGTGAGATAAACGCTCAGGAGAGGACAGAAAGTGCCCTAAATTGTAAACTTAAACTACTAGCAAACTGGTGCGACAACAATGGAATCACTTATGCTACTAGCAAACTGGTGTGACAACAATGGAATGGTAATTATTGGGAGAGGACAGAAAGTGTCCTAAATTGTGCACTTAAACTATGTGCGACAACAATGGAATGGTAATTAACACCGCAAAAAAATCGCTCTTAATTGTGCACTTAAACTACTAGCAAACTGGTGCGACAACAATGGAATGGTGATCAACACCGCGTAAGCTGCATTCTAAACATTTTTTTGGTGCATCAAGCATTAACCCATATTTGTGGTACAAAGATATTCCCACGGATAAAAGCCAATGAGTTCAATGATCTCGGAATGACGTTTGACAAAAAGTAGTTAAACGAGTCTCCAATAGATTTTATGTCCTGAATCGTCATGCTGGTAGCGTATGGATCTGTGTACGCTCAACTCGCGACACCACTTACAAGATGTTTATTCAGCCAATAATGATTTATTGCTGTGAGCCACTCATTACAGTCACATAGGTGAGTCTCAAATCACTAGATAAGGCACACATCCAGGCATTACGACTAATTACTGAAGAAATAAAATCAACACCCATTGATGCAATGCCCCTAGTTACAGGAAGCACCATAAGATGTTCCCTTATCAACGTAAAAGCCTTGATCCTAATCAATAGGCTCCCTTATCAAAGAGAAGGCCTTGATCCTATATTAAGATGTTCCCTTATCAACGTAAAAGCCTTGATCCTGCATGAAAGACTACTGCGCATTCCCGTGGACAAATTCTTCGGCAACTATGAGAATAGATCAAGACACCTGAAAACGCAATGTGCCCTAATACGGAAACCCGCAGAAATGAAGAAAGCATTAAAAATCGATGACACTCAAAACAACCTCTCACTACTACAAAAAGTCTTCACAGAATAGGAGTATACACTCAATCAACATTATTCTATGTGATCTACAGGGTAAAATGGGGAAGACCCACCTGATTCGGTGCCTAGCCCTAAAGACAACATCAGAAACCCAAGGATGCTGGGAAGCCAGAATGCAAATAATGTACTACTGTTCACTGTCCTATAGCCTATATGCATGTTCCTCCACCCTACCCTTGTTGTGGCGTACATGTTCCTACCCTCTTGTTAAATATGTGAATTAACTAATCAATAAATATGAAAAAGATTTCATAAGTTTAACTACGTTGTTCTATTTTTAAGAAATACTCATCTTATGAGAGTAAACTTTTAAAGACAATACACTTTTTTCGAAAGTCATTGACGCAGCACAGAAATGTCATAGTAAGTTGTCTAGCTCTAAAGACAACATCAGAAACCCAAGGTTGCTGGGAAGCCAGAATGCAACTAATGAACTACTGTTCAGTGTCCTATAGCCTCTAAACACGTTCCCCTCACCCACCCCTTCCCATTGTGAAAGCCGATGTTAACTATGGAGCTGATGGTAAATATCATAATGCCTTCCATTGGAAATAACGGACAAATGCATACAAATTGAATTACTTTCATGTATTAATGCCGTTGTCCGTAAGTGCAACTTGATATTTTCTGCAATACTTTTTGGCACAAAGGATTTAACATGAACAAAGATTTGATTCTGGGAATTTTGAAATTGTTGTTTTTAATGAAGACATGTAAATGATATGTTTAAAAGTCAATTATCATCAGTTTAAAAATGAACATTGTTTCCAGTAATTATTTGAGATTCAAAACCCTTTTTCTAATCACTGCAATTATCTGAGAATCCATTTCAGGATTCCATGAAGAAATAAATAGAAGGATGTAGTGAGAAATTGAAAAATAGGCAATGAATAATTGAAAATAACGACAAAACAAGTAACATGCTTTTAAATATGCATCCAGTTGTGCCTGCTGCTTTGAACATTAATAAATAATTAGAAGATAGCATAGTTTTGAACAAGTGTAAAGTAATTTTATTTGAATTGCACATTTGATTTAATTCTTGTTAAATATATCAATTAACTAATCAATAAATATGAAAAAAG